CAGTCTGCGACACCTCCCTATCGCTTCACACTTCTAACCATTAGCGACTCCTGCAATCTGCCTGATAACGCCGTAGCGTAAGCTTATCAACGTGAGATTTTTATGCGGTTTGATTACACGCAGTAGTCGTTGACGCGGTAATTTGCTTCGAGTTCCCGTGTAAAAAAACTTTTGATTTATATGTTAGGTACCAATTTTTAGTAACAAACAGGACAGCTAGTTATGTTACGAGGACGAAACATAGACAATATCATTCTGTTCAATACCAAAATTCTAAACGTCTCAAGGCGAGTAACTTTTAAATTAATGTAAATGATTTAATCAGGGCATTTCTTAACTAGTCATATGAAATTGCTTTTATACCTACGTGCTTCATGATGAGTCGTTTTATGTCAGTAATCACGTTTCTGATTATACTACAGTCAAAGCTGAGTTAATTCCCTAGCAGCACATTATTGTTGTTGAAATATTTGTAAGGGGTATATAACAGGAGCCACAAAGGAAGAGGCTGGAGCTTGCGCAATCGCGTGCAGCTGGGCTTCTGTGCTTTATGGTGGGTATGTACATAGTCCCCCAATCGTGAATGGGCCCTTCCTTTCCTAAAGAAGAAAAAGGACAATGGAGCTTTGGGACGTGGGCGGGCGGAGGGGATGGCGGCGCGCGCGCGGCCGCTCGCTGCGCGCGCATCCAGTCTACGCACGACGAGCAGCGCGCGCACACGTCGCGCAGTGCAGTGAGTAAATAGTGATACACGATGTTGCACGAGGCGTGGCCCAATGCGTGGCACAAGCCGGAGTCCTTCGAGCTGGAAGCCTTCATCTCCGAGGTCCACAGCATGTGCCTCAAGCGTAAGTTATATTGGTCAACTAATCGTCCTAACGTCCCGATATTAATGCAAAGGATAACTTGCAGCTACAGCAAGAGATGTTTGTTGTAATGCATATTGTGTCAACTTAAATAAGTTCGTGTTCTTCATATTGACTCTATTCAGTGTTTTATGAATCAATGATTTTACACTCGAAAAATCTATAAATTTACTATTTTAACAATAATTATTATCAACTACCCAACTTATTAAAGACATGTAAACAAATAGTCACAGTCAAGTAGAAGGTCAGTAGCGCTAATATTTATAATACTATTTATATGAATAAATAAGTCAAGCTGCCTTTTAAATTCAAATTCCTCCTTTTTTTAATATTAGCAATTTTCCGTTTACCCCTCATGGTAAGTTAAATATGGTTGTGTTACGAGTGGGTTCACCTCAATAGTCAAGCGGGCATCGAACTCGTTTCTAGGATCATCTTAAGTCAACCAATCTGATACCTTTACGTTTGGCTATTGTTGCTTCTTAGTATCTACTTATGTAGTGCTTACGTTCACGTATGTATGTTTGTATTCACGTCCTAATTATATCTTTCTCTACCACCATTTCGGGAGTTGAGCCTCAACTTCATAAAATACGATAATTAAGCACCAGCCAATGAGAAGAAGTGGCGAAAGAAACTCTGTCACTCATGCCTGCCGCTGTCTTTCCTGAACACTATAATCCGGGCCTTTTTTTAAAGCGAGAGTGAATAGGCACTTACAGGGAAGATATATAGGTACTATCCTAGACTGCATCTCACTTAACACCAGGTGCCTTGTTTTGCATAAAAAAAACCTTTGTTAGCCTCTTTAATAAGAATTACCTGCCATAAAATTTGATTATTGTATGTATTTACTGAAGTTGAGGCTACTCTGGCTGGAAGCAATTAAGTTGGAATAAACTCCAAGCATACGGTTTCGTGTCGGCGGGCGATAAGTTAACTACAAATTGACCCTTCACCAAATAAAAATAACCTCCAAATACTATTAATTTGTTCCCGTTTTGAAAACTGAAACATTGCCAACGATATAACACCTAACATGCTAAATTGTCATTCGTTTTGAAGACGGTATTCCTAACTAAATAAAAATACTGTTTTGAAAGGCAAACCTGTAGTTTCATAATTATTAGTGACTAGCTTTCCGCCCGCGGCTTCGCGCGCGTGGACTACATTATTTACATATTTTACGGAACCCTATTTTATTCCAAAATAAAATTTAGCCTATGTTACTCATGGATAATGTAGCTTTCGAATGGTGAAAGAATTTTTAAAAACGGTCCAGTAGTTTTTGAGCCTATTCATTACAACCAAACAAACAAAGTTTTCCTCTTTATAATATTATTATATTATATAGTGTAGATGAGTGAGCAGGTACAGTCAGCAATAGTTCGTGACACCCAAAGTAGTCATAAGTTTATAACACGTCTTTGTTACAATAATTGTAATAAGGTTGTGTTATCAACTTTTTAACTACTTTGGGTGTCACGAATTTGACGATGACTGTACTCCTTCTTCTTCTGCCTCGCTTTATCCCGCTACGCGGGGTTGGCTTTCCCAATCATAAAAGGAAAACCATGAAATCTTAAATTATTTTAATTATTTGAAAAAAAAAAAATTTAGTAAAACCTTCAAATGCAGTTCTCTTTATTTTCAAAAAATAAAGGAATGTAATCTTTGATTAACATTTTCTATCTACAGTATTATGAGTACTACCTATTCCTTCAGGTGGCATTACAAAATTCCAACCTGTATAAATTAACTTGGGCCCGGTGACCTGTAACACAGGTATTCATTTACCTACCTCAGGCTCCGGACTCACACACTCATTAATGTGTTTTCTTTAAATTTATTTTATCCTGTATTTTGTGTGAGAAATAAATCATTTATTACTTGGCTACCATAATGTTAATCAATTCCGATTGGACTTTTTATAATAGTTTTTTATAAATGGTAAATTAGTCATTAATATTGTTATTTACCTAAATATTGCTGCTAAATCTAGATAGGTACCTAGATAGGTATGTCAATAAATTAATATATCGCGCAGAAATATAAAAGGTAGGTATTCTAATTATTTGCTGATACATTTAGGTAGGTATCTTCTACCTACTTTTATTCGGTGCAAGGGGATTTTTGATTACATGTTTATCGGCCTAGCTCCTTTGTTGTGAACACGTATTATTAGGTATAAGACCTAATAATAAGTATTTTATGTTATAATATTTCCTGGATATTATTTTCCTTGAAGGCGTTATTTATAACAACATTGTAACATTGCCTTTGGATAAATTAAAACTTAAATCTACATAACATAGAATTGATAGGTAATAATAATATAAGTTAAATATAATAATTGTGAAAAGATTTTTGAAATACAATATCTACTGCAAATAAAAAAAATGATTTAAATGATTATTATTTATGTTGATTTGGAGCGACGGATTTGTTTAAATTTTAGCTAATAGCTAAATAAATATAATTAACTAGGTTATTAAAGATAATTAAGAATTTCATTCACTCCATAATTGAGGAAGCTCTTTAACCTTTAACTGGTGACAAGCGGTCTCACAGGCCGGGCGGCGTCAGTGAAACATCGTTTCACCCCCTTCCCCGTACTTCCAATGTTTCACCGCTTCAGTAGCTTCAAGTTTAGTTGTGTCTACGCCGTAGATAAGGTTATTTGCATCATTCAGCTCCAAATCGGCAAGTTACATCGATGCAAAGTTCAGCAGCGGTCTCTCAGACCGCATGTCACCAGTTACGTGACATTTTTTTCATACAATTTTTTCGTATTTTTACAGTTTTTACTTGAAATTGATACTTAAATAACTCCAAAAAAGAAGCGCAGGATCATTAGTTGGGAATATAGTGCCATACTTTATGAAACGACTTGAAAATTCGCCAGTTGAAAAATATCCGGAAAAGGAAGACTCAATTGGGTCGGAATCCGAATATGTTCCTGAAAACATCGTTCTGGAGCAAAGTGACCATGATTCGGAAGCCGAAGAAAGTGTTTTTGAAGATGAAGGACCAATTGACGAGAATCAGTCAGAAAGTGAAAATGACCGACCACTCTTATGCCAAACAATAAATGTCCTGACAGCCAATAAAAAATACAAAAGTTTCACCACTGCCAGTTTTCTAAGATTATAGGTTACCTATGTGTGATAGGTTTTTTTAAATTGATTATCATTGGAACTATAATAAAAAATACTAATTTTGTTATAATTTGTTGATTTAAATTTCTTATTTGCGATTATCGATCTCATCTCTAGTTTTTTGATTTTTATTACTAAATATAATTTAACAGCAAGTTCTGCATTAAAAATTATATTTAGAGTTTATTATTTTATTTAAATTTAATTCTTCTATATGCTAATAATCTGTTTTTAAAGATTGTGGTATGCTACCTTACCTAGTTTCTATGCTACAGTCTTGATACGGTAGCGGCCTCTCAGACCGCACGTCACCAGTTACGTTACACAAAAACCATGTCACCAGTTAAAGGTTAAACACGATTAGTTTTATGTTTTATTGTAATTTGTAAAGTAAGTATTTAGATTTGAATCATTGGTACAAATGAATTTTCAGTAAAGTAATAATCACCTACAGAAGCCGAAAAATTTGGTATTTTTACTACGTATACGTACTACGTATTCAGCTTCTGTCTGAAATAAAAGTGAGTGACAACAACAGTAGACAAACTCTTTTCTTAAACCTGATCAGTAAAATAAAATTTCATTGGCTATACACACATATTCCCTAATATACTCGTAGATTGACAATATGACAGGAAATTACATTAATTAATGTCTTACTACCTAGTAGGGCTAGTAGTCCCCAAACTTCTACATAGGTTGTCCTGTCTTTTGTGGACCTTAAACGTAGTTCATATAGTTGTGCTTCCTGAAAAAATAGTTGTACCTTAAGGAACTCGAATAAAATGTTTTTTATAATTAGGGTAGGCTTTACCAATCACGCAGTCGCATGGCGAGTCGCCCGCGACCATCATTCTTGTCTTATTGCCCGATCTCTGGACAATAAGACAAGAATGATGGTCGGACAGGGAAGCGCGCCAATCGGCGCTCCCGCTGCGCGCGTGTTATCATTGTGTTGTGTGCGTGTGCGCAGAGAGCGAGGCGGAGTGCGGCGCGGAGGGCGGCGGCGACGCGGAGAGCCCGCCCCCCCTGCCGCCGTTCGGCTACGCCCACGCCGGCGCGCCGTCGCCGTCCCACTCGCGCAGCTACCAGGAGCTGCGGCCGGCGGCAAACGCGCGCGACATGCACGCCTACGCGCACCTCGAGGAGGCGCTGTTCAAGCCGCCGAGCGGCGCCGGCTCCACGGACGGCGCCTACCTGCGCGGCCGCAGCCCCGGGCCCAGCCCGTCGCCCGAGCGCCGCGACGACTACCGCGGGCCCTACGACGCCTACGCCGCGCCGCCGCCGCCGCCCTACTCGCACGACCATCACCACCACATCGACGGGTGAGTTGCACTGTCTTATATTTTTAGCCTCGATAGCTTCATTAAAATTACTGAATAATTTTGCATTGAAAACACCAAAGGAAAAAGTGTCGTCTTGTCAGTCAGGTTTTGTATATCACCTTGTAACATTTGCACCTAATTGACATGTTTAGATTGAAAAAAAAAAAAGTAATACCTACCTATTTTATTTTTCTCTAAATCGATTTAACGTTAAAAAAATTAAAAAAGAACTTAGTTATTCGCTCCTAGCACAACATCTTTTTTTAAAAAAGTTTTGACGTTGATAGATATTTCTATACCTATAAAATGGGTATTTGGTCGGTTGGCAATTTGGCATTGACTCAAGGTTAGCCTTACAGGTAGGAAAAAGAAAAAGTACTACTACTTCACTACACCGCATAATAGTGACACGTGCCAAAATAGATCTTTTATTTTCTGTTGTTGTATTGTAATGAGAACATTAGCCTTCATAATTACGACATTAATTAACAGATAATTATTTAGTAATGTGTTTGGATAGTTCTTCTACCATGGAATTCATGGAGTAAAGAAAAAAGCTATGATCAAGATAAGAAATGCACTGGATCACATTTAAGTCATAGGTGGCTCATATACTATAACAATTTGAAGGAAAATAATACGCAATGTAACTACGAATGCTACGAAATTTCGTAGCAATTTCGTACCAATATAATTAATGTTTATTTATAACATTTCTTCCTGAAACATTTGTTCATTTGGGGCCACATAGGTAATACAGAAACTAAAGAAAGGTAGAAACAGGTTTCCTTGACGTTCAAAAGTAGTTGTGTTGGTGGCACCGAGCACGACGCACTAACGAGCCGGCGCATTAGATGACGCGCGCCCACAACAAAGGGTTACTTACTCTCTTGCGGACCGGTTCTGGCTTTGACCAGTAGTTAGGCTCTATCTAGATTGAACTGGATAAAATCGCACATAGACCTGGTACGGACCAGGACCAGACATTAGACAAGATGTCAATTTTGGTACAATTAACCAGTTTACTCATTGGTTAAATAAAATAGACCTACACTCCAGTGTATTTTTTTAATCCGGTAACATAACTGTGTGCTTACCATGAGTTTACGTTAGGTGTGCTCGCTAGCGACTGCGTAAAAAATTGACATTAATTTGTATGACATATTGTCAGCGCCCCTAGTGGCTACTTTCAAGAAACAAAATCTTCATAGAGATTTTTGACGTACTCGCTAGCGAGCACACCTAACGTAAACTCATGGTAGGTACACTGATACCGGCTACTTATTACATCGATACAGTAAATGAAACTCAATAATGTTTAAGGTTATTTTAGTACAATGTTCAATTATTCACAATTCGGAGAAAAATAGTGACTCGCCTCATATTAGGATCATGATAAGCAACTCTGACAAAAGTATTCCTCTATAAGAAATATGGTGGCGTTAAAAGTCGACACAGATCGATTGTTATCGCGTGTCGCAGACTGCGCGTAGAGCTAACTCTTTAACAGTCGTTATCTCAATGATGGCGATTAGGGCGCTAATAACGCAACCGACAGCGACCGCGGTCCGCTAGCTGCGGCCGACCGCAACCACGTCGCCTCTGAATTCCTAAGCAATTAGTAAAAAACGGTAACTAATTTAACTAATAAATAGGCAAGCCTGCTTATTATACACAAGCTTTTGGTCTGTCACTGAAATACTTTTTAAAGCCCGCGCTTCCCTATGAAAAACCAACATAAACCTACGTTGTTTTTTACCCATCTGTGCCAGAAAGAGGGTTATGTTTTGCGACCTGGAGGGCTCGATGGATTTCAGCTTGAGGTGTCATTAGATTTGTATTAAACTATGAGAATAACACTGGATATTACAAAAATTGGAAAACATTAAAATGGCCAAATTGTCTTAATTTTTTTTTCTCAAAACATATCGAGTCTTAAAAAAGGGTTTCATAAATAGTTTGTAATTTATTTTTATTTAACTGAAAATATTATTAAAATAAATAATTTGATGCCTCCGACCTGAATTTTATTATGAAATTGAAAGGATTTATATTCTTCACAATAAATCAAAAATACTGCGTCTCTAGTCCTAAACTAAACAAAGAAAGAAAGATAAACCTTTATTTGACACATAAATAAGGTACATTTACATCATTAAAATAAATTATAGACCCAATACACTAAACCGTCAAAGCTTTCTAGCAAAGCTTCTATGGGTACTAGATAACGGATATAAACATACTTAAATACTTTTTTAATGTTAAATACATGTATTGTTTATTATCCATAGAAAACACCCAGTCCAATACAAACAAAAAGCCAGTGGCTATGAAATATTTTATTAGAAAACTGTGGCAGATTTGATAGTGCGATAGCACTAGCACACACAAAGCTTCACTTCTTGTGCAACATTAACTTGCATAAAACGTCACCACAGACTAGAATTGCTTCAACAACATATCGAGTATTTGAATAAATTCAGCTGTCGGGTAAATAGGGCGGTGTTTTCGGCGAATGTGTGCGCGTGTCCTCGAATGTTATCAGTGCGCGCATGTGTGCATGCTCCATTGCGGCAGCTCCAACCGTGCGCCGGAGTTGACACTGAAGACGACCATTTTATGCCGGTTTATTCTGTGTCCCCTTGATATAAGTGTGTTAACAGCATGAACATACGAACTGGCAGTGTAACCACAGAATTAACTGTGTAACACAGTTGGGAAACGCGCTAAGGCGCGGTGCCTGCGTGACCTGCGTCTGTGCGGCCGTCGAGCGTTACATTTATAATAACTTTAATTTTATTGTAGGTACATAGCTCTCACTCGACTATTTGTTATAATAACAGCCCCTTGTTTATACAAGTTCGATTTATTTTTACAATTTTAATTGTCAACATCTCTGATATATCATCGTAGTTATTATAATGAGTGTTGATAGAAAAATAAAGATGATCTCACGCAAGACGGTAAACTGACAAGCGTCTGTAAGTACCTACTTATACATATGAACATGAGGAGCGGAGCGTTTAAACACAAGTTTAAAGGGGGGTCCCAGAATGGTCTAGTGCCCACTGTGGTGGACAGCCGCTCGGGCGGGCAAAAACATCGAAATACCTTGGTTTAATTACAGGTTTATTTTTTTGCATAAAATGCCCAGACGGGTATCAAAAACATAAACTTTAAACTTAAAAAAAGGCATCAAAAAGAATTTAAAAAAAGTATAAAAACATAGACAATATGTATATCAAAAAAAGATTGGTTCACCTATCGGTTCCACCCTAGGACCACTTGTTGAGCCACCGATTCCAAGATGATAGCTGAAAACCAGTGTTGCAAGGATCTGTCCTTACAACGTATACTGAGCCAGGTCCAATTGCCTTCGGTGTACTTATTAGTTGTAAGTCTAACTACCTGTACCTACCTATGTCTAATGGTTCGAAGGCAATAAATACATTTTTTATTTATTTATTTATTTGATAGTACTCACTCATGAGTAGTCACTGTAGTCAGACATGAGTTATGATACGAATCGTGTGATCACTTATCGTTTCCAACCTGTTTAGGTAGGTTGCTCGTTGTATGTATAGCTGTTTCTACAAAGCAATGTCAGATGAATCTTTCTGCAGTGTCATTATTACAACCTATTAGTGTCCGGTGTCGTCGCCGTGACGTCACGCAGCCTCTCGCGTGAATGGTCCGCGCGCAGCTCTTGCTGACGCAGCGTCTCACGGTCAACAACATTCGCGTTACATAAGCTGAAATTTCGCGAGTCAGCGATCATGAGCAATATGAGCATGCAACGTTCGTTCATAAATATTACTACTTATTGCTTGCATTTGACCATCTCAATATTCAGTATATCCGCCTCTGTGGTCTAGTGGTAAGACCACCTGCTTCAGACGCAGAGGTCCCGGGTTCGATTCCCAGTGGGGGCAGATTTTTCTGTTCGGTTTGGTTGGTGGTAGGGCTTGTTCTAAGTCCGCCTGGCTAGCTACCACCATCTTACCTAAGTCTGTCGCCATAACAACAGTGTTAACAGCATTGTTGTGTTCCGGCAGTTAGAGGTAAGATAGCCAGTTCCTCCGTGGTTGAGGATTCCGGGTGAAGCTCGCTTCCACCTTCGGCCTGATCGTCACTTACCATCAGGTGAGATACAGGCCAAGAGCATCCTCGTTGTGTATAAAAAAAAAAAAAAAAAAATATTTTTTTAATTAGTAACATTAACCCGGTAATTAATTTTTTTAACTACATGGGCAGTTAAGTAGTTTTAAGTGTTTGTAGTGGTGATTGTTTGCGCAAAGTATACACCTAACAGTTTAACGCTTTTTGTAGCTACATCAATAGTTCATGCTCTATTGTTGTAATACTATAACTAATTTGACCTATTTATGAATCTCAACCTGAGTTCTACTTTTAATGTAAGTAGTTTATTCCCTCAGAAAAATCCCAATTTATGAATTTAGGCCGCAATCTACTTACTATGCTATACACATATAACTGTGAAAAAAGCAAGACCAACCAAATACCAGGTCCAAGATTTTACCAAAGTTGAAAAATATGGGAACAGCACCTAGCAAACAAAAATTTTAAAGAACTTGTTAATCATTGTAATCTCTTTCCATGTTATTTCGCTCTCGTTTGCATGGCATGTGTGCGGTTTCTGCGAATGAGTAATGGCGATGCCTACTTCCTGCGCGGCCGGCGACACTTAACCCACTAACGAGCAGCGCCCGAACAATAAGTACAATAACTCCACGATCCGCGCTAGTTCTACGCTAAGACGTTGTGCAAACTCAGAAAACCCTCAAACAATCCCTTGTGCAAATACATGGCCAGGTTTTTTCAACCCACTCCGGAAGAGTGTAAAAACTCGATCCTTTGTTTATACTCGGGAATAGCATTTTTGAAAGTTTACAAACTTAACAAGCATCTTGTTTGCCGGTTTTGTTAGAAACTTTAGATGAAATATTTTGGTATTCACCTGTCTGTGGATAAGCAAAACT